GATAGATAGATGATAGACAGACAGACAGACAGACAGACAGACAGAAAGATAGACAGTCAGACAGACAGACAGGCAGATATATGATAGACAGACAGAGAGACAGACAGATAGATAGACAGACAGACAGACGGAAAGACAGACAGACATACAGACAGACAGACAGACAGACAGAAAGAGACAGACATACAGACAGACAGAAAGATAGATGACAGACAGACAGACAGACAGACAGACAGATAGACGGATGGACGGACAGATAGATAGATAGATAGATAGATAGATAGATAGATAGATAGATAAGATACACAGACAGAGGGACGGATGGACGGACAGATAGATAGATAGATAGATAGATAGATAGATAGATAGATAGATAGATATACATGCAAACTATTATTAATGAGTATTAAGGTTAATTTTAGCTTAGGTTTTAATAGTTTTTGCTATGTGCTTTTGTCATTTTTTATAAGTTAAACATTTATGTACAGCACAGTTTTATTTTATTTTTATTTCAGTTGGTCATTTTAGTACTTTAACTTTTTTTTAGTTAGTTGCAACATTTCAAATTTTCATAGTTTTAAGTCTAAAGTTTTTCATCTAACATTTATATTTTATTTCAGATTTATTTAAATAAAAAATACATTTTTAATAGTTTTACTTTTAGTTAACAGTAACAACACTACACAGCAAAAATCCTATTCTTAATGATTATGAATGTCTTATTCTCCGATTCAAAATCGAAAACTCTTGAAACAAGATGTTAACATTTAATGTTAATTTTAGTCTACGTTTTAGTCATTCTGTTATGTGCTTTTGTAATTTTTATTAAACTTTTATATTGTTAAACATTTATATGCAGTGTTGCTTTAATTTATTTTTATTTCCGTTTTAGTCATTTTATTAAATGGCAATATTTCAAATTTTTTTGTTTAAAGTTTTGAATCTAACATTTACATGTTTTTTTCTCGGAGTGTAAGAGAATAACACAGTTAAAGGAGGTGTAATTGACTTTAAGGCTGGTTTGTGCTGCGGGTCACAGAGGTTCAGTGTGACTGATCGTGTGTGTCGGTGTGATTGATGGCTCTACGCCTCGGCTCTTCACTCATCTTTTGTGAGCTCTATAGTAGACTGCTATTTTCTCATTAGTCAACAGTTTGTCTCTGCCACCAAATCGAGTGTTTTAGGACGGTCACACTAGACTTGAGTTTCATTCACTTCCATTCATATGATGGGAACGCAGGAGATTGGGTTCACAAACAAATTCTGACCTGTGAATCTCAGACTAACCCAAAATAAATAAATTAATTAATTAATTAATTAATTAATAAAATACAAACTGCATTTGTATGCAGTTGTATGCAGGAAAGTAATTTAATTTAATTTAATTTATTTAAAATTTAAAAGCAGAAGCTCTATATTTTTTGTATTCAAAACAGGGTTATTATTGTTAAGTAATAATAAAAAAAAAAAAATCATAAATGTAACCAGAAAAAAAATCCGGCAAAAAAAACAAAAAAACATTTTATTTCAGTTAGTTTCTCATTTTTGTTTGGTTGAAGTACTAAAATAAACTAAAATGGAAAATAAAAATGACATGCAAAATTAGTCATTTTTTAAACAAAAATAAAAGATGGAAAGTTAAATATTAATATAGTTTAATTAAATCAAATAAATAAATATATCAAGGAAACCTCATACTTAATTGTAGCTAGTTGCCATTTCTCGTTTTCATTTAGTTTAACTTGATATACTAAAATAACTCAAACTAAAACTGAAATAAAAATTATTAAACTAAATAGACATATTAAAAAAATGCTAAAATGACAAAATGTTAACTAAATGGAAAATATAAAAATAAAATAAAAAATATTGGTAACACTTTACAATAAAGTTCCATTAGTCATTGTTAGTTAATGTAACTAAAGTAGATAACCAATGTTAACTAATTAACCTTATTGTAAAGTATTACCAAAATATCAATAGTATCTCAATGACACTAAAAACAACACTCATTCAAAAAAATTGAATTGTAGATTGATCATGATGATGTGTTCAGATGCACTTCACACCTACATCTGCTCACATCAGACGAGTTTAATGAGCACTTATTCCACCAGCACTAGTTATTTCCTCCTGCAGCCACATGCAGTGCTGCTTCCTCTCACAGGGAGATATTAAGAGGGAAATGTAGTTGTGGAATGGGAAACTACTCTTAGTCTCCCTGTCTGTACATGTAGTACAGTAGATATTCATATACAGGCCGTATTCGAGCCGCCAGAGCAGATGAATGTGGTTCAGTCTCAGCATGCCCTGAAAACAGAACCCGCTCATCCGCTTTGTTTTCTTGGCTTTGTAAAAAAAAAATAATAATACTGGAGCAAAAAATGAAAAAACTCTAAACATAAGTGTTGTTATTGTTTGCTAAAATTAAACTATTAAAATCGTTCATTGAAATAAAGCTGAAATAAAATAAGATACAATTTCATATTAGATGTCAATTTCATAACTTTTGCAAACCTTTGCAAATAACTAAAATAAGTTGAAGTACTAAAATGACCAAAACTGAAACATCAGTGTTGCTGTTGTTAGCAAAAGCTAAAACCATTAAAAAGAATAACAGATATAAATCTGAAATAAAATAAAAATATTAGATCAAAAAACTTTAGACTTAACATAAAAACTAAAGTTTAGGTTGAAGTACTAAAATATTAGTGTTGTTATTGTTAAAAAAAAAAAAAAACTATTAACTGAAATAAAACTTAAAAATAAAATAAAAAAATAAATAAATTTCATATTAGAAGAAAAATATAAATCTTGCCTTTGCAACTAACTAAAGTTTAAGTACTAAAATGACTAAAATATTGTTAGCTAAAACTAAAACTATTAAAAATAATTTTCGTCAACTGAAATAAAGCTGAAATAAATAAAATCAAAAATATTAGATGAAAAACGTTAAAATTGAAAACAACTGAAAACTAACTACAATAAAATACAATTTAAATAAAAATAAATTAATAATAATAATAAAAGCACTTAAAATTACTTAAACTCAAATTAAAATGACAATTTAAGAATAAAAGCTAATTTAAAATATTAGTAAATGCTATAAAGTATATAAATATTTTTTAAATAACACTATATGATGAGTTTGCATAAAAAAAAAAAAAAAAACATAAGTCCTTATAACTTATTAATCTTTGCCCTAAATGCCTGACTCTCCATAGATTAATTTGGTCATAAGAAACACAATTATACCAATCTTTCAGTAACAGCAATATCTCAGAAATGTATTTGTGTGTTGATTCTCATTTCAGTCTGGAATGCACCACACCAAACCAAACCTGTGTGCAGTTAATAATGCCTCGTTCAGTTTGTCCTGCATGTGTTTGAACTGTATCTCTGTATAGCCTGTGCTGTGAATGGACTCAGCACATTACTCAGTATATGAGCTCTTTAAATAGGACGGAGCGTGTCAACAGTGTAAAGAGGGGTATTTTTAGAGAGTCACTTACAGAAAGCATCTCCTCTGGGGTTCAGCTCCTCGCCCTCCAGCTGGTTTCCTGTGTCATCTTCCTCCTCCTCCTCCTCCTCATCCTCATCTTCTTCATCATAAAACTTCTCCTCCTCTGGAAACACGGGCGTCTGCTCCGAAGGGCCGTCGTAGTCGTAGGGCTGCGGGCGCAGTCGTGGAGATCCGGTCACCGCAGGCTCGGGGATGGTGTTGTCAAACTTGCCGCCCAGAATACGAGTTTTGGAGGGGAAATCAGGAATAGCTGCAGGATATACAGACGATGCAATTAAATGCATGAGAAAGCTGGAATTAAATCTTTTATGCTGATATCAAATGATATTCAGAAGTCATTCAAATTCAAAAATGCATATATGAAGCTTGATAAATGTTAATTTGATTCATGCAATTGCAACATTATTGCATTATTCATTTAACATGCATAATATACACCAAGACTATATATGCTTGGATATGCATGAAGCGCATCTGTTGTGCATGAAGCCATTCGCAAAGGTCCATAATTAAGTTGCATGGTAACACTTTGTTAATATATGAAATTGTTCCAACTTCTAATAGGTTTCATATATGTTTTTACTTCATATGTATTTCATATATGGATATGTAATATATGTACTGTACATAGCACAACATATGGACTACCATTAACCAATATTAATAAGTGCTTTAAAAATATATTTCTCATTGTTAGTTTATGTTAGATAATGCTTGGGCTGCTTGATTATGAGAAAAATGATAAACACGATTATTTTGGTCAATACTGTGCTCAAGATTTTTTTTTTTTTTAAATATGATTACTCACTGACTTTGGAAACAACATGCATTTAATTAACTTTTAAATTAAAATTAACAGTTGATTTCCTTGAACTTTAACTATAATGCAACTGACAAATAAATTTAAATAAAAAATTATAAATTAGTTTTATATATATATCACTATAGATCAGAACTCAGAGGAAATGTTTTTCTGCATACAGCCGTAAAATGTTTGCTCTGCATCTCTGAACTTTCTCACCATTGAGAAACACATCTGCATTTCCTTTCTCACCTTCCCAGGATCTGTGATAAAAAGGCTTGACTACAAAAACACAAAGGATTCGGTTCACATGAGTTAAAATTATACTCAGAGGTCAAAGTTCAGGAGATTTATTGAGATCTCAGTTAAATTTAAAGGAGTAGCTCACCCAAAAATTAAAATTTGCTGAATATTCTGAAGAAACAAACTCATCCTAATCTTGGATGGCCTGAGAGTGAGGAAATATTCAGCAAAGTTTTATGTTTTGATGAACTATTCCTTTAATATTTCTGCTAAAGTTTCTTGTGTGTGCAAACCCTCATTCATTTCTAAAGAAGTGCAGCTCTGGCGTCTGTGCAGATAGACAGTACGGAAAAAGCGTTTCCTTTGGCCTTCACTTCAGTGTGTTCTGTACAAACGCAGATATTTACACAGGTGGGATTTCAATCGCAGACTCTCTCTGCCTGACACCTGTGAAAGTCAGAAGGCTCTTTAAAGGAAACGCTTTAGAGCTGCTAATGTTTCCTTCAGATTTTTCTTTCCTGGCTAATTACAAACAGATATTCACACAAATGAGCTCAAAATATAATTATACATCCATATGCAAAATATATACTAGAAGTCAAGAGTTTGGACACAGCTGCTCACTGACTATTTTGCATACTTTGCACTAGAAAAAAAAGAAAACTCTTATGTGTATATATATATATATATATACTGTATATATATATATAATCATTCATTATTTCAGAGTTTGCATGAAGTGCATTGTAGCATTTTAATTTTGTAAATAAATTCACACATATGCATTTTATTTTATATTTATATTCTACAAAAATAATTTCAGGCATTGAAGAATTTAAGGTCTTTAAGATCATGAGAAACATGCATTCGGTCAGTGTGTCCAAACTCATCACTAGTGTATATTTCAGCCAAAAGCAACCATTTCAATCTATAATACTGCATATTATGAATGTAATTTCACTGAAGCATTGCTTTCGGGTTAGATTTTGTCTCTCACCTGAACAATCAAATCCACTGCCACGGAAACCCTGCTTGCATTTACACTTGTAGGATCCATGAGTGTTGATGCACTCGGCGTGATGACTGCACTTATGTGTATTGGACACGCATTCATTAATATCTGAGAAACGACATACAGTTTCATTATTTTGCATAAAATAAAGCATGAATCACTCATTATTGATATGAATCACTCACAAATTATTATTTCACATTTCCTGAGCATCTTTCTGATTCTTCAGAGTTCAGATCCATGAACCAAACAACCAGCTCCAGAAGAATCACAATATGACATTTGATTTAAAGCAAAAATGTATTTGATAATTATAAGCAAGTTAAAAAAGTAAAAAAAAATAAACAAAGACTTAAAACAAAATGTAAAATAACAACAAAAAGTAATTGCAACTTTTTTATCTCATAATTCTGACTTTTTTCTCCCAATTGTGAATTTTTATCTCACAATTATGAGGTAATATCTCAATTCTGCATTTATATCTCACAATTCTGACTTTTTTTTTGAAGAAGAAGAATTGTGAGGAAAAAAGTTAGAATTTTGAGATAAAAAGTCACAATTATATATATTTTTTTCGTGGTGGAAACAAGCTTCCATAAAATTCTGCTTCAGAGTTCAGAACAACTTCAAGTTTCATACACTTAAAAAAAATGATAGAATTTACTTTTTCACTCAGAAATTCAGAAATTCCTAGTAAACTTCACAAATAATTACAAAGAAATGGCAAGCAGCACACTGAATTGTGAAATTTTGAAGTAGAAAGATTAAAATAGTATTTTCTTGTCAAATGTACTCCAATAATCGTTGTTTCATTTACAACTTCAACAAATTTTGACTCCCAGAATGTGACTGCCTCGCTCTGTTACAGCATTCAGTCAATCACAAAAGCAAGTTACACTGTTTCTTTCTTACCAACACAGTCGTATTTTCCACTGACGTATTTGAGATCGTAACCCGTCTGGCACTTGCAGTAGTAGCTTCCAAACGTGTTGGTGCACTGACGGTTGAACGGACACTGGTTTTTCTCAGTTGCACATTCATCAATGTCTAAAAACGAAAATGAGGGAAACAACATGAGTTAATTAGGCATCTTGACTGTCTGATTTCATTGATCCAAATTCCCACATCTCATGACCAATGAATTTTCATGATTTCTCCACCTGTTCTTGATTACTAGGTAAGGATAAAAAAAAATATATATATTTATAGACAATACATTCACTAACAAATTCTAGCTGATTAAATATTTTAGAGCAAAGCACAACTACAAAAAAAGGCATTTTGACTATATAAAATTCCATGTTTTATCCATGACAATATTTTATTTCATGAATTATCTTACAGTACTTAATATTTTCATCTTGTTCTCCATTATTTTTGTCTTATTTTTCAGTACAAATATCTAAACATTTACTTGAGAAGCAAAATGACTTAAGATATTAAGTC